CTCTCTCTCTCTCTCTCTCTCTCTCTCTCTCTCTCTCTCTCTCTCTCTCTCTCTCTCTCTCTCTCTCATACACACAAACACACACACACACACACACACACACACACACACACACACACACACACACACACACACACACAGAGATTAGTGCAATCGATCATTGGAGAGAGCAGTGAAAAATGAAGGGAAGGGGGAAACTGACTAATCGATGAGTCACAGGAGGAGGGGGGAAGGAGAAGAGTAGACAATCCATTTGGAGAGTGGTGCGCGGGGGAGATGGGGAAAAGGAAGGGGTTGGATGAGTCCACAGGGAGAGTCTGCACATAGCCATCTCTGCTTTGGTGACACACAACTTTCTTTGTCTCTGTCTCTCTGTGTGTGACTGCTGCTGAAATACGGACCCGAGTTGGAATCCTGACACACAGAGAGAGAGATAGAGAGAGAGAGAGAGAGAGAGAGAGAGAGAGAGAGAGAGAGAGAGAGAGAGAGAGAGAGGTATTAGTCTGATTGATCATTGGTGAAAAACGGGGAACCGACCAATCCATCAATCACAGCGGGAGGGGAGGGGAGGGGAGAGGAGGGAGAAGAGTTGACAATCCATGCGGAGAAGGAGCAACCGACAAATGAGAGGAGGAATCGGCGGCCGACAGGAGGGGGAGGAGGAGTAGGGAAAGACAGAAGAGTCAACCATTAACCAATCAGAGAAGGAATCAATGAACGATAGGAGGAGACAGAGGAGTCGGCCAACTAGGGAAAAGAGGATGAATTGATAGAGAAAAGAGAATACACAGACACACTCAAGAAGCAATAGGAGAAGGATCGGGAGGAAGAGGAGCAGGAGGAAGAGGAGTGAACAATGAAGGGAGAAGTGGAATTGACAGAGATGGGAGATCAGAAGGCGGCGGAGCAGGAGGAAGAAAAGGAATGAACCATAGAGGGAGATGGAAAATGCACACATTAATCAATCAGAACCTCGCACCGAAAAGGTCAGGTCCCTTTGAAAAGCCACGCTTGCAAGTTAGCGAGCCTTGGAAGATCGCTTTGTCAAGTTGTCAACACTTATTTTTTGGGGTGTGTCATCCTTGCACAGAGGCCATGCTAATCTTCTCTGAATCATTCCAATTTGACGGATGTCTGAAAGGGGTTTCATGAACTAGGGCTCCGCATCGTCTGATTGGGTTTGAATTCTGATATTCAAAGTTTTTCTAACTTTTTTAACTTTTTTAAGCTTGACAAAAAACTTTAAAAAAGAGGGTGCTGGTGCGAGAATATGCCGGCTGCCAAAAATAAATGATGATTGCGAAGTTGGCATATAGACCCCCCCCCCCCCCCCCCCCCCCCCTTTTTTTTTTTTTGGAAAGATGCACAACCTGCAAATGAATGTATGTCATATCTTTTTGTTTCTGTTGCGTTGTTGATCAGATGTCGATACTCCCATAAGATCATCGAGTGGAGGGGGTCCATCCGTCGAGAACAGCACTGTGCCTGTTGATGAAGAATCACTGGGGATGCTGACTGCTATTGGCTGTTCGAAAGAGGTTGCACGAAGAGCCTTGCAAGAAACGGTGAGTCCAGTCCTTTTTTTTTTTTTTTTTTTTTGAGAAAACGGCCTTCTGCAGTGGTAGTGGTGCTGGTTGAAACAGGCAGGCACCACTAGCACCCGGGGAGAGGCTCCATCTATTGGTGGGGAGCATCAGCTGCTGGAAAACGTGGCCAGCGTCCCACTAATGCAAAACGATTCGGGATGACCTCAGGGAAAGTAACTGAGGAAACGCCTGCCAGCATTGATTACTCTGGTGTCCAGAGGATTAACTGTGCAGGTTATTGAGAAATAGGGGGAAACCTCTTTGCCCTGTATCAGGCGCCAGATACCTGCTGCTAAGAACTAGTTCCTCCCTCCCTCAGCTGCCCCTACCCACCCTGTCCCAAATGTCGTCACCCTCCCTCCCCGCTTTCCATCCCTGTTCCTCTCTAATCAGAGACCATTCCCGACCCGCCAGCATTAATCACCTCTGTGTCGAGAAGAAAAGAGCTAGGCGTCCAGTCTACCTTACCTTTATGTATTTTTTACCTTCTCCACTTCTTCGTAAGACACACCTTGCTCTCTCTCTCTCTCTCTCTCTCTCTCTCTCTCTCTCTCTCTCTCTCTCTCTCTCTCTCTCTCTCTCTCTCTCTCTCTCTCTCAGCCTGTGCTCAGCCTGTGCACTCTTTGTCTCTGCACAGT